GAGCCGGGCAGGCAGCCAGGGCCGGGCGTCCCGGCGCTCGCAGGCGGCTCCGCACGGACGGAAAAGTCCCCGGTTCATGTGACCAAGCAGCGAGGAAGTCACACAGGTACCGTGCGAGGCCTCTCGTTACCGGCGGGATGACGCTCGGGGAAGGGCTGGAGCTGCTGCAGCCCGAGATCGTTCACTGCGGAGCTAAGAAAGCCGGGCTGCTCTGCCACGGGCCGTTCTGCTGAAACACCCAGCGCACTCGTTCTGGTTTTGCTATTCCGCTACTGCTCTTTCACAATCAATTTTAGGCGTAATAGAAGCATTCCTGCTCTGTTAAAATTTCTATGCTGTGTGTTTCCAACTTGAGATTTTTTTTTGTTGAATTCAACGGAGTATCTCTACATAGATTCAAAAGAACATTGATAAGATCTAAACTGATAAATAATTTATGCTGATGAAGTTCATTAATAACCTGACTGATCAAAATGTGCTACGTCCTTGCAAATCTAACCACTGAATTCTCAGTACATGCCTGTGACGGGATATTCTGCTTCGAATGTGGCAATACTGACCTGAGCGTACATGGCACAAGCTGAGGAGGGCCCCAGATGTTGCTCAGAAGACAGGTGATCAAACACTGCAAAGGCCGTTTATGTACATAAACGCCTGTCTTTGGAAAAAAAGAAGTTGGTACTTTTCTCCCCTCATCATCCCCTCGATAGATGATACTTGAATAATTCTCAAAGTGTCTGAGGAAACAAAGGAAGAGGTAGTGTTGCCTTGATTGATTTTTACTGCTTAACTTCAGTGTTCTGTTATTGAAGGGTGTAATACTTCACATGCACCCATGATCACGATTTCCACTGCATTGTAAGAAAAGAAAGGTGATTGACAGTTTTGACAACAAGCAGTTTGAAGAGGAAAAACTGGGGGAAAAAAAGCATAAGAAAGACCCTAGAAAAGAAAAAAATATACAGAAGAAAAGTCCAAGTGTTTGGCTAAAACAGAAGGAAGAGACTTGTATGGGGAAAAAAGCAGTCAAATTTGACAACTGTCTTCATACAGGGGAGAGAACAGTCAAAACTGACCTTAACATAGTATTTGAGCCTTGGTGATGGAGAAGAGATGGTGGTGTTCTCCACTGTAACGGAAGACAAACTGAAGAGCATGGTTGCAGAACAGTAAAATCCATTTTGATCAAGCCAAATGTGAAAAGGTGGTGAATCAGCCAAGATTAAAGATCCAAGAACCTCTAAAGGTTCTTGATTAAATGGAGGAAAAAAGGACCAGCATGGATAAATATGACTGAAAGCTGTCAAAAGTGCGTGATAAATAAACTCTTGTGGACAGATGAAATCACTTAAGAATGCGGGTTTACGGATGCAAGACTCCAGTGGCGATCCAAGGGCAGGATTCCTTGCCAGTTTCTGACTGATCCTTTTTTGTTTTTGCCTTTCATTCCTTCAGAAGTGTGGGGGCAGCTTGTGCTGAATTGCTTCTTTGGGAAGGTTTTACTCATCTTAATCACAGATCATCAAATGAGCAAACTCATAGGATGAGTAAAGGTTTTTTGATCTCAATTCTAAAAAATGATGGCTGAGTAAGGAAAGCTATTAAAGCATGTATCTTTATTAAATTCCAAAACATACTTTTAATCAAGATTTACAATTACTTTGCATTGTAAATTCTGTAAGGAAAAGTTGGAGACAATCAAGTAACAGGAAATGATTGTGTTCCTGTCCTCTCAAAAACAGAAAGCAGTTCATTGACCAGGACTGTCTACACATGCATATGCATAGCTTTGACTTTTGAAGAGTTATAATGACAGATGTGGCTGTTCTTTTAGTAACAATATTAAGATCCTGTTAATAATTCTATTACACTCTTGGGAGAAAATTAAGTAGTTTCCACGTTCCATTAAATATCTCACAGACTTGCATTCAGCTATAGTTTGAAATAGGCTCTTTAGCATTGACATTGTTGCTGCACTCCTAGAAAACAAGGTAAATCTTTATCAGGAAAAAAGTGCTTTCCGTTCATATAATAATGACTCCTGTCCAGTGATGTCATATTATTATTTATAAAATGTCATACAGGAAAACGACTTCTTTATAGCCAGAAACATAAAGATTTTGCTCCTTTTCTTTGAGGGCAAGACAGGGAAAAGAGATCTGTATAGATGTATGTAAAACAGGTGTTCTTCTCATTGAAGAAATCCATTTCATACTCCCACTGACAAGTTTAGTCATGGGCAGTAGTTATCCATTACACTCACATAGCTCTTTTTCACACACCTATATCATCATAGTGAATGATCAGTTTCTATGCTATAGTTATCTTCTTTGCTAAGCCTATAGTGGTGGTCATGCTTTATAGATTTGCTAGAACAGAAAAATACATCTAATGCTTTCCCTTGTAAATTTGGTGATTGGTTGCTGAAAAAAAACCCTTTTCCTTAATCATAGTCCTACTGTGCCTAAACATTTTATGTTTGTCGAGCAGACTCAGAAAACTATAACACTGGCTTAAAGACTGTAACTTCAAAAATAGTTCTGGCATATTTTATTTGCTGGCTCTTTCAGAGTATACTTAGGTCAATTTTATGCATAAATTTAGAAATTTATCTTTTTAATTGATAGTCTCATATGAATATTGGTTCTCAGAAATTCCGCTTTAAGTAGATTAGCAAGTATTATGTTGTAATAGCCTTTGCCTTCGTGTACTATTTACCAGCACTGAAAGGAGAGAGATATTTTTTGGTCCCCGATTTAGCTGAAGGTACTGGCTAAATTGTTACCTTTGCACAAGTCAAACAATTAAGCAACCAGCTGAGAAACAATTGCACCTGGTCCTCCCCACACAGAGGGCAGTACTGGGAACAGCAGGGATGTGTGGCTGTAGTACCTAACAATGCCAGCAGAACTGAATGGTCCTGGAAGGGACTGAGAAAAATACTAAGTTACACTGTGGCTTAATCAGACCTCAGTACTATCAAGACAAAGACTTAAATGATGACAGGAGATCTTGAACCCTTCTTATATCCTGCAAAGAACAAGCATGAGATTAACCTGAGGTCTTAAGATATAGTTTCTCACCATAATTTTGCTGACGTGCTCTGATGACATGTCAGATAGTAGCATAGCACTTGTGCAAGCAATCAAATCAAAGCTGTATAACTACGCTATTGCTTAACCAGGTTACTTTTCTGTTCTGAGGTTGTTTTTCAGATAAGGAGTTTGTTCAACTCTTATCTTAGCAGCAGAATGCATAAAACTGAAGTGGAAGTAGGTGCTGATTTTGAAATATTTTCAAAGTGAGATTTTCCTCCGTAGTTCATCCCCTCCGTGCTGCCCTGGTCATGCCGCAGGTCTGACCCTGGCTGTGTTTGGAGGGCTGCGAGTTCCTCTCGAGGGGCTGCCCTTGTCAGCCCAGGGGAGGTGCAGCCTGGGTCAGAACTGGGTCTGGCTGGAGCATGGCCGAGTTTTGCCACTTATCAGAGGATGGGAATGTGGTGCCAGGTAGGATGAGATAGGGCTGGAGCCTCTGTGAAGCTGCTCAGAGGCTGAGCTGCGGTAATGCAGGACAGAAGGTGACAGAGCCATAGCCAGCTCCCTTGTGGTCTTCCCCTTCTACCTTGCCAAGCAAACCACAGTGCAGGACAGTGTGGCCCAGTTTGTTTTAAAAGATTATTCCACTCTGGATTTTGAATATATGCAAGGAAACTGCTGGAAAAACCTGCTGGGTAAAAAACCTCAGTAGGAATGTTTCAATGAGATTAAAACAATGCAACACCCATCTTCTGTTTAAAATGTCTTCCATGAGGCAGTCTGGAAGATTTTCTAAGGCATTTGGGAAGAAAATTAGCTTCCAGACTGATTCATAGATTTGTTAATTAGTTTTATTTATTATATACACACTGTATATATTATATAATATATATACCATAATATATATATATTTACATTATATATATACACAATAACTTGTAATTAGTTCAACAGCAAAAACTTTTACTTTCTCAAAAGTAGTCACTGAAGCAGTTTAAATCCAGGTTTAATGTCCATTAAAAAGGAATTGCTTTAGTGTCAGGATCTATATCAGCGTTCTGGTTCTCAGAAAGTACTGCATCTTTATAAAAAAGAGGCTTTCATTTCTGGGCCAAATTCAAACCGAACTACAAGATGGATAGGTAAAATATTATTTGTGTGGATAAGCTTGATGTGAGCTTATTCTAAATCTGAATTATGACCTTTTGGAGGCTATGGAAGCAGAATTAAACAAAGGATTAGACCAGTTAGAGATGTAAGTTTTGCAAAGGCAGGTGCTAACAAAAGTTTGGATTATCAGTAAGGTGTTAAGTTTCAGAGTCAAAGGCAGTCTCTAGCTATTAAAATTAAAGAATCATGGAAATTGGAGATGACAGATATGAAGAGACCATATTTAGTTGATTATGTTCCTTCCCCAGAGCATATCAACTATACATGTCAATCCTGACAGATGTTAGGCTACTATGCCATAAAACCTTCCAGGGCAAGATATGCCATAACTGCAATATAACCTATTCCTATATGGCATTAATCTCAATTGTAGAAAGCTCTTTCTAATGTGTGGTATCTCATTTGTTGCCTTTGAAGCCCATATATTTTTGTTGTTTTGATTATACTACCAGAGTGTAGATTATGACTGCTTCATGGCAAGTATTTATATTTTTGTTATCACATTTCTCCATAGTCTTTCCTTCTGTTAACTGTTTCTCCAGTCTTCTGGTTTGTTCTCTTAAACCCTGTTATGGGATCTCTAATAACTCTTACTCATATGTTTCTGGACTTTCTCCAACTTGCCCAAGTCTGTCTGAGGTATAGCATGCTGTCCCGGACGGAGTACACTAGCAGATCTAGATCTTATCAGCAGTAAGTAGAGTGTAAGGATTACCTCGT